CAGAGGAGAAAGAAAGAACGGGAGCGATGGGAGAAGGGGCGGCGGGGTGAGGGGGGAAGGGTTGAATTGGAGAAAGGAAAGGTGATGATGTGGGCGGTGGTGAGGGGGGGGGGGGGTGGGGGGTGGGAAGGGGAGAGACGATGGGGAGCAAATGAAGAGAAAGGAAAGAGAAGAGGGGAGGAGGGAAGTTGGGAAAGGAGGTGGCGGTGAGAGAAGGAAGCGTATGGGCGGCGAATTTGAGAGGGGAAGAGAAAGAAGGGGATGGGGTGATTTGGAGAGACTTAAGTCGAATATGGGCCAGTGGATTGGAGACAGACGAACAGAGCGCAATCATGGCAGGATGCTGGAACATCAAGAGGACGGGAAACGAAACATGGAAAGGCGGAGGGCGCGAATGGTGGCGGCTGAAGCCGCGCGCGAGACGGCCGCGCGGCACATCTGCGTTCCGGCACCGCTGGGCACCTTGCAAATGACGCGGGCGCGCGAATGCCGATCGCTGGGCATCCTTCGCGGAGCAAGACGCCCTCGGCAGCGCAGACAAGGGGGAAGGGGATCGGGCAATTGAGAAGGGGCTGGGGGCGGGGCGGAGCGGGGTGGGGGGTGGTCGGGCGGGGGCGGGTTGGGGCGGGGCAAGGCGGGAGTGGGTTGGAGTTGTGTGGGGGGGGGGGAGGAAGGGGCACATCGCGCGCGCGCAGTGCAAGCACAGCAGCGGGTAAGGGCCAACGGCAAAGCCCCACCGCCTTCCCCCCCTCCCTTTCCCCATTACAGCCACGCCCCTTAACCCGCCCCGCCCACAACCACCCACCTCAAATGCGAGGGCGGCGGCGGCGGGGGGCGCGCGGGCTCTGCGCGCGGAACGCCTGCGCAAACCGTCGCGGCGCTTGCTATTTGGCTTTTAATGCTTATACATCATTCCCCACACCACCACGGCGTGCATCATCATTTGGACAAGGCATATACAGGGGTAATTACCCAGGGGTGCCACGGGTCGCCGAGCGCGCTTGGACTGCGGCCCCGCGCACGAAGCCGTCTCCGCCAGTTCTTGGCCGTCTCGACGTCCACGTCCAAGGGCATCGATGACTAGGACAACACCGTATTGCGGTTTTTGTCCCAACGGTCTTCGCCCGACATGCTTGAACAGCTGAGCGAGCTGGCACATTCTCGCTGAGGGCCGCGGCGCAGCCATGGGGCCATCCGCCGCCATCGCCCAGCGACCTGGGATTCTGGATTTCGTCGTCGGCAACGTTTTCTTGCGGTGTCGGGCCGCTTAGAGCACGAGCGGCACCCCCGAGCGCAGCGCAAGGGCGAAACCTGAAGTCCACCCGCAAGCCGTCGACGCCGCCCAAGCAAAACGCTCTTCTTGCAAATCTAGAACTGACCTCAAACTCAGGCCAAGTACGTCGCGGGATGGTCCATGAGCAATCGCACCCATACGTAAGAAGTGTTCCACGAGCTGCGCCCAGAGGCCCGAGGCGGCGACCCTTGCCACGCCAGGTGCATTGGCTGCCCTTGCCCCGCCATCCCCCCGACCACAGCTGCCCCCGCCTTGTCGGACATCTCGCCCGCGCAGCCGACACCCTGCCGAAGCCAATTCGAGACAGCACCGCCCAAACAGTTGGCATCCACGCAACACGTGGCGGCGACAGCGCCAGCGCTGCAAAGAGCGTTGCAGCGACGCTGGCGCTGCAAACGCAATGAGCCGCAGGAAGCCGCCCGCGCCGCCGCCGAACCGCTGGGACACGACGCCAGCAGCGCGAATGCATGAATTCGCGTCGGCGGGAACCACCTCCCCATAAGGGGGGGCCACGTGCGGACGCGCTCGCGTGCGAGGTAATTCGCGTCCTCCCCCTTCCCACGCTGCGTCCTCTCCTGACCCAATCGCTGTTTCCGCAACGGTGCACGGCAGCCGCCACGCGCGATCGTCGGCCACCCCTTGGCGCGAGCACTCGTGTCCGCGCGGCCACTAGCACGTCGGCGGCGGCGCCGTAGGTCGGGGGCGCCCCCTCACCTAGACGGGGGCGCCGTCCCACGTTACTTTGAAGCGCCAATAGCCTTGCCGCTGCGTGGCGGCGCCAGGCTGCCTGCCGAACACCGCTGGCCGCAATGCTTCGCCAATGCAGGGTCCATGCGCGCGCGCGGTCAAAGATGAATGAACGCCCCTCTCACCACCTGCCTCAGCCACCCGACACCGCCCCGCCCACCCCTACCCCCCTCCCCAATTCCCCCCCCGCCCCCACCCACCCCCACCCACCCGCCATTCCTTTCGACAACGACAGCAACGACGACGGCGAGAACGACACCCACGGAGACGACGGCAACGGCGACGACGACCATGGTGGCGGCTGCGCCCACTCCAGCCGTTGTCGCGCAAGCCAGCGCACACCCCTGGATGCCCCCCAGCGCCCCTCTGCCGCGGGGGGCGCTCGCCCTGCGTCGGCGACACGAGACATTCAACGCCCGCCCATGGTACCTCATTTGCATCCCTGAAACTTTCCGCGCAAACCCTCAGCCGCTGGACCCACCCCCCCTCCCCCCTCCCCCATCTCCCTTATCGCTTGCTTAAGCCTCGTCCTCGCGGGCGGCTGCATCGCCATGCCCGCACCCTCCGCTGCAAACGCGTGGTTGTACTCGGCAACCGCGCTGGCATGAGCGATTTCAGAGCGGGGGCGCGCGGCCGCCGCGGTGCAAGCGCGCGGGCATGCAGGTCGAATGGTCGACCGCGCCGCCCACCGACCGCACCCGTCAATCGCGCGCCAAGCAAACAGGAACGACATGTTAGACGATGCCGCGTGTCGGCGCGGTTGCTACTGCTAGTGTTGATGGTGCCGTTGGCGATGGTGGCGGCGACAATGGCGGCGGTGACGACGATGACGGTGATGGTTAAACCACGCGCAAGGGCGATAATGAAGCGTTCGGCTGTGGAGTTATCGATCATTGCGGTTACGGTTACAATCTCGCGCGCGCAGAGCCCGTTGCAAGCGGAGCCCCGCGCGCCTGGACCCAACGCAGTGGGAACCCGAAGCGCGCCGAAACCCGATGCGCGCCCACCCACCCGCCCTCCACCCACCCAGCGCGCGGAACCCCAGCAGCGCCGAAACCAGCGCGTGCGCAATCGGTTTGCTATGCCATATGCTTAGGCCTTATGCATCAGCTTGCGAGCGGTGAGGCCAGTGCTATGCCATGATCACAGAAATACAAAGGCATACGCGCGCGAGTTTGCCTGTGCATATCTCAACATGCGTCTAGGCTCGCGGCGGGGCTCGATACATAGGCGCAGGCATAAGTCTAAGCGCGTATTTGAGCAGGGCACCTGGCAAGGTCTGACCAGAAAGGAGCGCAAAGGAAATGCATATGTTTTTTGTTTGCGTGGGCGCAAGCGTAGGCGCGGACACGAGCGCGCGTCCACGTTCCGACGTGCAGACAGCCAAGGTTGAGCAGCAGGATTTATGCGGGGGGGCGCGCGCAGGCACCTCACTTAGATTAGGCACCTAACCAATGCACCACCATTACACACCAAGATACGGCTAGGCTGGACACTTGGGCTAAACACCAAACACCGTACAGTACACATCAAGCACCTTACATACACTACGAATGGCAAGCACTGTAAGAGAAACTCAAATATTATATCATGATTTCCTACCCTGTCGTTTGTCCCCCTCCCTCCCCTGACCTCCTCGGCTCCTCCCTGCATCCACCTACCGTACTTTACTTACTCCTACAGCATACACCACCCTATCGCTGAGCTCTTCGTCATTCCTGCACTTCCTCCGAACTCCTGCCACCGCCTCCGACAGTCCCATACATCCTGATCTATCTTACCTTATACATGTTCCCGCACTCCCATGGCGCGGAGGGGCGACGAGCCTTCCGTCCTGGCCCTCGTCGCCGCTGCTCGGGCCTGATTCTCCCAACCACGAGTCGTTGTGCGTTGAAGCCGTATCCTGCGGGCCCCTCCTTATCCCTGCCACCATCCGCACTCCATCATAATCTTCCTTACCATCCCTTCCATTCCTCCTCCACATCCTCCGCGTTCTCCTGCTCACGACCCCCATCTGCACCCTCGTTGGCATCCCCAGCAACGCCCCCCCGCATTCTCCAACTCGCACCCCATTCTCCTTATCCTCTTTCCCCCCCTCCTCACCGCCAGGATCCAGAATATTCTCAATATCCTGTCCATCACCCCCACCACCGCTTATCATCCTCCGCAGCCTTGTCAGTCCCCCTCCGAGTTACCCTCACCCTGCATATCATCGCCACCGCCATCATCGTCACCGCCAGCTGGTCATCATCAGCACCGTCACGATTGTGCTAGTCGCCGTCGCCATCGTCATCGTCAACGGCCGTCGCCACCTTTATCGGCCATCGCCATCGGCACTGTCATTGTGGTCATCGCCACCATCATCATTATGAGCATCACTGTCATCGCCATCGTCACTTCTATAAGCATCATCGTCGTCCCCATCATCATCGTTATCATCATTGTCATCATCATCATCATCATCCTCCTCCTCCCCATCCCTCCCCAATAGCTTTGCCCGCGCGTCCTCGTCGGTCGTGCGGTCGCCCTCCATGCCACCGTCGTCCGTGGCAGCGCCCCCCTCGTTCCACTCCTCGGCCTCGTCATCCGTGGACTGCTCGTCGGCCTCGTCGCGCTCGCCGCGCATGGCCTCGTCGCCGCCGCGCATGGCCTCGTCGTCGCCACCCAAAGCTGCCTCGACGGCTGCCTCCAGCGACAGGTGGCCGCCCATGGCCGCGTCGTCGCCGCCACAGGTTGCCTCGACGGCATCCTCCAGCGGCAGGTGGTGGCCTCGCCCACGGCCTCGGCCCCGTGCTCGCCCTCTGCCGCCAGCGGCTGCACCATCGCCTCTGGCGCGCCCACGCCCTCGACCTCGTCCTCTGCCTTCTCCGCCGCCAGCGTCTCCACCGTCGCCGTCGCCTCTCCCGCGCCCGCGCCCCCTGCCTCGTCCTCGAGTCCTGCGCGGCTTCGGCGGCCACACGCTGAAGTTGTTCTCCACGGCCTCGCTCTCAACCACGAGCACCACTCCAGGAACGAAAGTCGACAGAGGCCGCTTGTGCCTGCAGACCTGGTAGAAGCGAGCGTTCCACTTCCGATCAGTTTCTATCGTCGCAGCCCACTTCTCAACCGATATCCACTCGCTCGACGCCTGCAGCGAGGGAGCCACGCCCACCCCCGAAACCGACGAGAACAATGCACCCCCCCCTATCACCGCCCACGCTCCCATTACCTTCTCTCGGACGGCGGGGTTGGGGGATAGCAGCGGCGGGGGCGGCGGCGGTGGGGCGGCATGCGGGGGCGCCCATCTCAGACGTATCATTGGCAACGTTTTCCAAAGGCTAGGAAATCGATCCAAGCCGAGGAGGGTGGGCAGGGGGCTGGACAACAGATAAGCTTGCATGCAGTGTTGGGGCGGCTGCAGCCTGGGGGGCAAGCCTGGAGGATGGGTTGATTGCTCTCGTCGGTTTTGGGTGGGTGCAGGCGCGGCTCCCCCTGATGCCTTTAATGCAATTTCATCGCCTTGAGGGTTGGCGGTCACGGCCTCGTCGGGCTCGGGGATGAGCATATGCTGCACCATCGGGTCGAAGGGCGCCAGGTTCATGTACGAGAAGTGCCACCAGCGGACATCCTCATCATACCCATAGAACTCGGCCAGCAGCGCCAAATCGCCATCACCATGAAGTGGCTCGCACTCAAGTCGCACGATGATCTCACCATCCTTCAACTGCTTGCGCCTCCTAGGGCCAGGGGCCCTCGGACATGCCATCTTCATCGCAAGCAACAGTGAGTTTTTCACGCGCTTTATTTCTGCACCTCTTTCTCCGCACAAGCACATGCCGACCAACCAGCACTGGCCATGAGCGTACTCTGGGTCCTCATCCGATGAGACATGCTCGTCCTCTGTCACGTCAATCATACTCCGATGCATGTAGGCCCAGTGGTCGTTGATGCTCTTCGTCAGGTTGAGCTGCTTGCCACCGATGCTCCTCAAGTATTCAACCATGGAGGTGGCGTTGCAAGACGACGCGGCACTGTCGGTCTCAAGAACTCGAACCTGGCGCGCGGGGCCAGGCACCGCATTCAAGCCACTCATTTGCCGAAAGCCAGCGCCGCTCGCCGAAAGGTCCTGCACCCAGCCGTCGGTGTTCGCGCGAGTGAAGTCGACGACTGCCTTGACATCCTTCTTCTCGGCGTCGCGCTTCAAAGAGTTCGCGTTCTGCTTGATTTTCTTTGCCATCGCGAGTGTATCTTCGGTCGAGTAGCCGTGCAAGTGCGCGTCTGCCAGGAGCTTGTCGACAGCTTGGTTTGCGCCTGCCTCGGGCGCTGCAGCCACCCGCAGCTGCAAGCTCCTCTTGAACTTCGCCTGCTCCACCTCTTTCCGAGACGGCCCGAAAGAATTCCCCTTGCGACCTTCTCTCCGAGCCTGCGTCGCCAACTGGCCGAGGCGCACGCACTCCTCCAGCAATTCCGACCCCACTGTAGCTTTTAGTGCTCTGTACAACCTGCCAGCCTCCGCCAAGTCTGACGAACCCTGGTGTCGGACGAACGCCCTCCACGCTCCACCCCCGCCACCTCGCCGTGAATCCTGATGGTCTGCACCTTCATCGCCGCCGTCGCCGTGCCCGCCTGCATCGGCAGCTGGTGGAAACTCGTATCGATGCGCTCGGACTGTCGACGCCACCCATCGGCTGCTGAGGTCAACGCAATCGGGCTGTGGACACTGGACGTGCTGCGCCACAATGCGCCGTATGTGGCTGTTCGAAACCTCCAACCTGTCCGTATTTGTGTAAATCATCATCGCATGAACCAGCAGTTTCATCCTAGCATCCTCGGTGGTGAGGTCATTCTCCTGCAGGAACCTGGCCGACCACGAATCGAGCATGCAACGCGGTGTGTTCTGGACTTCCGTCGCGAGCTCGGGCTGGGACAGAACAAGGAACAACCTGAAGGGCGCCTTCTCGTGGCGAGACGCGATGAGCTTCTGGACCAGGGCGCCCGCGGACGACACGCCAGTGAACACGTCGGCCTTCAGCTGGTTGTTCATCTCGGCCTCGCGCAGCAAGCACCACAACCTGCTGTCGTAGAAGAGCGCGTGCATGCGCATGAACGCCTTGTGCTCTATCTGCCCCCGAGCGTGAACCAGGACCCTATAATCCCTGAGCAAAGCACCGTCGTCCCCCTGGGCGAAACGCCTGGCAGCAAGTGCGTTCTGCTTGCGCTCCCACCGCTTCGATCCGATCCACAACTCCTCTGACTGCATGTTCTGGACCACGAAGACAATCATTTTCAATGCAACCACCTGCGCGCAAGGGGGCACACCACATAAACCTCTCAACCAGTCCAATGCAGCCTTCCGTTTCCGTGCCACCTCCCGAGCCCATATCGCTATGGGGGCCATGCCGCGAGGATCCTGCTGGTCCTCTTCCCGCTGCATGCGCCCCTCCTCGTCGGACTCGTCACCCAGAGCTGCTCCGTGCTGGGCCGACGGGTCGTTGGCGGGCCCGCCGTACTCCAGGTCAACGTCACCATCAACTTTCCCTGACTTAACTCGGCGGCAAAACAACTCATAAGCCTTGATGAGAGAGTTACCCAGCAACAATGGTATCGCAAACTCGCAGCACGCCTCGTCGGCACCCATCCACTTCTTCCGCTGATAAATCGTGAAATTCTTGTGCGCGATCGCCTGTGTGATGCCCTCCGCTGCGACGTCGAAAAGCTTATCCTCGTCGTATGGCTGGCCAGGAGGCACATAGATCTCGAGCTGCTTGCTATCCCAGTTACCAGTTGCCAGCATATCCAAGAGCGCTCGCACGACGATGTGGTTCTCGCTCTTGGTTGAGATGAACCACTTCAAGATCAGGGCTCTCCTGAACAGCGCCGCGGCCGTCGGCGGCGACGTGATGACTGTGCAGCGCTTCCTCAAGACGTCCCTGAGCGAATCCCTGAACACGTCCAGATGCCCTTGGAAATTCAAAGATAAAGCGAGATTTATCATCCCTGTCATGCACGGCGCCAGCCTCCATGTCGCAAGAACCCGCACTGTCTGAAGGACGCGCTGCTCGCACGGGAAAAGAAGTGATCTGAATTCACTGTATCGCCTGACCATTCTCCGTGCGATGCGCCGCTCCACAACCAAGTTCGACGGATGGCGGCCTACGCTTGCTATCCGAGAGAAGTTTTTGAACCGCACCTCTGGCAATGACATCGGCGACGTCTCCTTTAAGGCCTGCATGATGGAACCAGGGGTGTTCCTGGCGAGCGCCTGGATATGGCACACGTTGACACCCCTGATGACCACGTACTGCTTGCCGCCATTGTCCAACTTGCGACTGATCAGCATGGCGAACTCCTGCTGCGTCTGGAACAACTTCGTCGGTAGGGCGCCACGGTTTCTCGGGAGAAGGTTCATGATGATCTCGGGTAGTGGGCAATCGGGGTTAACAACCCGCCTGGTCCGCTCGTTGATGCCTCTTAGCTTCAGGGGCGTCTCGTCGTAGCCGACAGAATCGACGAACAGCATCGCCTCAATCGTGCGCTCCTGCTGGACAGCTTTAGCCAGTGCGCGGCGCCTGCCGCGATCACCGAGCCACGTCGCCGCCGATAAGGTCACGCTCAATGACTGGGCCGTCTTTCGGTTCACGCCAGACCATGCGCTCTTCGCCCTCTGCGAAGCGAATGCCAGATCCACGCCCTGATTTGAAAATAACATGCCGCTGATCTTCCAAACGTCGTCATCGATGTCGGAATCTAGAACGCCACGTTCACGGCAGAGGGCGAGGCGCTGCGCATACGAGTCTATGAGGGGCGGCGGTACGAGGAACTCGCCAGACACGAGCGTGGTGGTCATGATCTGCTTCGGGACGGCCAGCTGTGACATGAACATCCTCTCATCATTGTTCTCATCTCTGCGGCGCCGCGTTGCCTCTATGGCTGCCGCTCTGGCAACCTCGATGTCGCCGCCGCGCCGACGGGCGACGACCGCGTCGGCCATGGGGCGGCGCAGACGGCCCGCGCCGAGAGGCCGCTCAGCGCGTCGGCTCCATCACGCCTCGTCGCGACGCGGGGCCTCCGCCGCCAGCTCGACGGCACGGCGGCGGGCGCCGCCGTGCAGAAATACTCGGTTAATCCAAAGTGGGCCGAGATTCTGCTTGAGCCAGAACGGCTGCGGGAGGCCGAAACCAGCGAAACGCAATTCAATGTAATGCGGCCCCCCGACGCAATGCAACACAATGCAACGTGAATGCCCGACGCAACGCGAAGCACTTGTTCGACGCAATGCAATGCAATGCAACGTGAATGCCCGACGCAATGCAACACAACGCAACGTGAATGCCCGACGCAACGTGAGGACCTGGGGGGAGGCGGATAATATCCTGAAATAATTATCGCCGCAACGCCGTGCGCGTCTTTATCATGAAGCCCCGAAACGCATTCAGATAGGAGGCTGGTCGGATTCAAAATGCAGCTCCCGCCGAAGCGTCGCGCCCATTCGCCTATTGCAACACTGCATTGCCCGAACAGCTACACGGACGGAGGGCGCAACGCTACGCGAACATTATCGCGGTCTTTATGGCGCGCGCACTCGCCCCGACCCCCAAAACAAAACCTCCACATCGATATCAAGCGGATGGTTTTCACACATGTGGCTGTCGCGCGAGCGACGCGCCCTTGTCATGGCAAGGATGCCTCACCAAATGCGGATGGAATGCGGCTGGTTTTCCAAATGGTGTTCTCGCAACCGCGCCCTGCGCAACTTCTTGAACTGTCTCCGAATACGCAAGCGTTGATTCCTTCCCAGCGGGAGAAGCCAGGTATGAGCAATGAGGCGGGTGCGGGCGGGAAGTCCGAGGAAGAAAGGCAGCGAAAGAAGTGCGGCGACGATGATGATAAAGAAAGCGATGTGGGCGAACATGTGCAAGACGAGGAGGATGACACACGCATTTTGTTTTTTGTTTTTTTTTGGGGGGGCGAGTGTTTTTGGACGATTCCCACGCATGTCACTAAAACCTATGCCCAGAGTATTTTCTGACCTTTTTCATTGGTTCCTCTGGTTTGCAGAGTGTAGCGACATGGCTCCTTATAAAGTAAGTCTGTGTATGAGTAAGTCTGGGTATAAGGAGGACGAGGAGGAGAAGAAGAAGAAGAAGA